AAACAGCATGCGGGTTGAGCTGACAATATACATTTCTCTGTATCAAAGAATGTAAAGAGAAAGGCTGAACATTGAAACGCTGATGTGTTTCAGTAGCACACGGCAGATATTTATATGTATGCATGTGTGACCAGAGGTGTGTAAAAGTGAGTCAATTATGAACTAAATTATTATATCAGCCTTGGCTTTACTTGCCGGCGAAAACTCTCTTCACTCATCTCTGCAGCTTGTTGACCCCCACCCCCCGCTGTGACTGCCGTCTCTTGTGTAATCGCAGGAAAACAGAGGAACAGGGAGGGATGGAAGGAGACTTGGAAGGGGGGTGGAGAAAACAGGGAAAAGTAATTAAAACAGAGTGCCGAAGAAAGAGGAGTGTGTTGGCGTGTGACCGGTAGATGCAGCTGCATTGAACTGAAGAACGTGGCGGGATTAACAGGGGTCTAATGTGCTGAGGATGCTGGGAAATGGCAGAATCTTGTGTGTTTTTGTATGCATGCGCGAGTGTGTGTATGTGTGTGCGCGCGCATCCATGGCCGTGCATTTCATGTGCCTTTGGGTGAAAAGTATTTTGTATTTTATTCAAGTGTGTGTGGATGTGAGTACTTGGTTGTGGATTTCAGAATAGAGGAAGAGAAACAGTACAGAGAATTTGGCAAGATGAAAGGAAATGATTGGCCTTTTTCATGAGCTGAAGACGAGAATAAGATGGAGTGATACAGGTAAACTGCAGAGGACCAGATTTTTACTGACAAGGCTAAAACTCATGCTGTCTGTCACAGAGTGTGTGTGTTCATATTGTCACTACACACTCTGTTCCGACAGGATTTAAAAGATCCACTCCAGCAAACAATTAAGCCTTATCAATCAATTGGCACTTGGCACAGTGTACACAATTACAAGATACACTGAATGGGATTCTGACCCTCCTACAAAGAGAAGAACACATATGAGATTGAATGGTGAATAAATTAGGATGAATAACGACACAAAAAACCCCAAAAGATATGACTTTTTATTTTTACTGAGGCAAAGCACCACTCCAACTGTCACCTACATACGGATTCCACATCTCTATTTTCCTTTATGGCAGACAAACAAAGGCTTGTGATCGAAACAATAAGAACTCCAAAATCTCAGACCTCTGCCAAGGCTGAACAATCCTCCCAATTTGTTATTTCGGTAATAGAACATGTTAAGATTTTTTTTGTTTGCATCAAGGTCCAAATCTGCATCAAATCACACGGCTAGAAAATCTTCAGATTTTTTCTTTCTAATTCAAGTAAGTACCGTGGTTCATGACAAAAAAGTGAAACACTATTAAACAAGACTAAGGGCGGGCTCACACCTAAAGGTCCGGTTCCTGAACCAAACTAGCTCAAGGATAATCCATTGTTTCAATTTTCCAACTGGCAAGGCTTGCGTTCACAAAGGCAAAAACTCAAAATGTGTAAACACAAGCCACATGGTGGACATGCCATTTGATTATTGGTAACATAGTCAGCTGGGGAAAGATAACAAACCTCTCTGAATTTCTACCTGGATATCAGGTTCATACGGTGGTACACATATCACATATCAGCAGACTTCAGAGGCTCACGCATATGAATGTCTTGTAGCAGGTAGCCTATTAAATAATTTAATAATGTAGGCATTTTGAGGAGGAAACTCTGCATCAGATTGTCTTATCTCAGATCATAACACGACTTGTTTATTATTACTAGCCTATTATAATCCATTACGTTTTTGTGTTAATAGTATTTTTCCTAGCTCTTTCATATTTGGATTGTCATTTTTCAATTCTACATACTTATACTGAAAATCAAGATCAAGCGAGCCTTCTGCTCTACAGGAGGTTTCGGTCCTCCCTGAGCTTGCCTTACTGTTTGAGACGTGTATTGTCCAAGTCAAACTCCCCACCTTCTGTTATTGACAGTTGCAGTAGTACTCTGCCTTTCTTTTTATTTCCTCATAATGTTTATTGTATGTACGGAACACAAAGGCAATTTGGCAAACAGTAAAAACCTACTTGGTAATAAAAGGTATTCTGACAAATATTACATATTATAGCTAACAACAATAATACATAAAATATTACAATAATAAAAAATGAGTACTATTTTAATAAATAACATAAATAGCTTCCCCGTGATTAGTTCCAATCATGTTCACTCCAGAACTGAACTACTCCAGAGATCACTTGACAGCGAGACCAGAGTACGGTTGTTTGGTCCCCACCGGAGTTCGAGTCCGGCGTTCACACCAGCCCAAACGAATTGCACCAAGGGTTAAACACACCACACCAAACAAGGTTGGAGTGAACTAAGGGTGTACAGCCATGCTGGTGCCTCCTCTGAGGAACATGAATGTTTGTACAGAATTTCATGGCAAACAATCACATAGTTGTTAAAAGATTTCAGCTTGGACCAGCCTACTGACACACCGACATTGAAATGATTAGATGCTAGCCATGTTTTTAGCCATGCTAGCAGCATGGCTAAAAACGAAAGCTTTATCCCTCAGGCTATGGGTATAGCTTTCAGCAAAGGTTTTTGAAAAATCCTTCTAATACAGACAGGCAACAAATAAGGGTGAAAACATGTCCTGGCTGAGTTTGGAATTTCTTTTATAATTCCAAAATATGAAATCATGTTTTCCTTTTTTTCCATCCTCTCACCTGATCAACATTCCTATCACCTATCACCCAACCTACTGGCTTTTGGCCAAGGCAGTTTTAATGCTCTGTTTTACTCCTGCTTGGTATCTCTCTACCCTCACACACTTTCTTCTTACCTCTTCCCCTTCCTTACTCCTATTCACCCTCTCTGTGATTAGATAGACTACTGTTCGGCTTGTGCCTCGACCTACTGAATTTCAAATAGGCCCCTTCGACAAAACCCAGAGCCACAGTCTCCCCTCTCTGCTCTCCCAGCATATTAACTAGTCCTGCAGCAGTGCCAACAATCCTGCAGCCCCAAGCCCACCAAAGCTGTGTAGATCCGTCAGTTACATTAAGGAAATGAACAGTGTGACATATGGGTTGTCACTCTCTGCTCAGGTAAATATGTTTTTTGGTTGTACTTAACAGAGGCACAACCTTCCAATCAGCGGACATCCGGGCTTTAATTTATATATGGGACAAACACAATGTACTTATTGTGGACCACACTGTGGGTTAATGGCTAACAGTGGCTAAGACCAGGTGACTGTAAATCTAAACATACACTAACACCCATCTGTTAAATGGATCAAAACAGTCTAAATTTACCTCAGACATCAGGTGTTGGTCCACACATAGCCCAACTTAACACCCTTTCAGTTTATTTCCATCCATTCCACCAGTCAGTCCATTCATCACACACAGATACTCATACACACCCAATCAGGCCTAGCCTATATCCCGCTGTTTCAATGCTTTCAGTGTATGTGTGTGCACACTGTCAGTGCGCGTGCCCAATTTCAATATTTTCACCCTAAATGGCCTCTTTATAGTTAAAGTAAAGTAGGCTAGCTGTGAAAGAAGGTCAATCCCCATAAACCCCCATGTTAAAGTACCCAACATTACAGCAGAAAAAAAGGTTAAGGTCTCTATAGCTAATTTCCCCGTTCACGACAACTGCGTGTGGGATGATTTTTTATACAACTCACCAGTTTAAATTATATTAAGGCTTAAAGTTATGTATAATTGACACTTTGCTAAGCCAAGCGCCCCTTAGTTACTGTTGCTGTCTGACAAACTGTCGGACCTGTCGGACTTTTTGCATGGCGCTGCAACGGTCTATTACTGCACTTCTTGGAGAAAAATATTCTCAAATATTTGGAATAATTACAAAAGCGATCTCAGAAAGGGGACAGAAAAGTTTGCATTATACATTTGAAGCTTGTGTTCAGGCTGTGAAACTGATGTGAAACAAATAAAGACAGAAGCTAAAGCCTAATGTATCACAGAGTAAAAGTGAACCACCTGATACAAACAACAATGTTATTAAGGATCAAGACTCTTCCTGTAAAGCTTGGTAGATTTCTCTTCACTATTACGATCAATTAAAAAAGCTATATAGGGCTACTATAACGTTACATTCAGTGGGAAGTTAGGTAGGGTTAGCAAACTAACATTACATTAGGAACAATCCACAGCCTACATTTTTCTGGACTTGTTTTAAGTCTTGGAAAGGGAATAAATCTTATTTCTCCCTTCAACCTCTCAGGGTAGCGACTGTAACTGTAAGTGCCCCAGGAACAGCGTTTGACCATATCTTGGAAAAATACAGCAAAAAAAAGCTGCTGTGGCCCTACTTAACTAGATCAGTGACAACCATCACTGACAGTTCACTACATGATATTTTTTAGAATCTACATACATAGTTTAAATCCCACACACCTCCAAACACCTTAAAAAATAAACACACCTGTTTGAATTTTATATATATAGAATATAGAAACATTTGCAAATACGGTACACATTTTATACCTTGTGCTAAAGTGAATAGTCGGTTTATCGAGTATGAGTAGAAGATCAAAGAAATTTAGCAGTACATGTTTTGATAAACCATTAGGCATTAAGCTCATGTAATATCTAATATTCGCTGGTTCCTTAGATTAAATTTTTTTTTTGCTTTCCTGCATTTATTTTACAAATGACCTTTCAGGGCTTTTGACTGTTTGACCAGAAAAATGTGCGGTACTGTAACTTGTTACGGCATTCGTAAAATCAAAGTATTTGCCCTTAAAGACTACATACCAGTCAATATGAAAATAATTGTTGCCGTCATATTTTTGCAGTATTAGAAACTTTACATAAGATTCCTGCAATGCTGATATAGCAATGTGAGATATAATTACAAAAGAGAGCAATATGAGGAGCAGTCACAAAAATTATGTCTTAATCTGTACAAAATGTTTACCAGTTTACCACAGTGTTAATGCTTCCTACTGCATGGGTACAGAGGAGTGACATGCAGTAAAGCTGGGACAGGAAAACAAGTCGCAAAAAGGTTTATTACCTTGCTGATCCAGGTCTCAAATGAAGGCCCTTCAGTGGTCAGCAACAAATCTGGAGGACAGAGAGACAGAAGGGAGGGTCACTAAGTGACTCCATAATCAAACATAGCGCAGGGACTACTGGTCTACAATGAAATAAATGCTATAGATTAGTGGGAATGACAGCAATGAAAATGTACACTGAGCTGTGAAACTTTGTACTTTTATGGACTTCATGATCATAAAAAAACAGATTACAGATTCATAACAAGTCAGTAATTGCTTGGATTACTAATGTTGTTTAAAGAATAATAGTATTTATAAAGAAGTAATCTTTAACACAAATTATATCTGATGTTGATAAGAGCTTCTATATTCTTTACTACAGACAGCAAAAAAAATGTTTTTGGTTTAACAGAGGCCTATCTATTATGTATAAGGGCTACTTGTTAATGTTAGGACTGTGTAAATTTACAGCTTACTGGTGAAAGAAATCTTCCGACTATCCTCTTTAATGTTGGCACAAACAGGCAGCGACTGTTTAACCAATACCATAGGTGGGATTCCTAAAGCCATAAACATGATTTGGCTTCTTAACGCAGCAGCAGAAAACCGGTGAAGAGAAGGAAAAAGGATAGTGGGGGGGGGATCTCCCACTGAAAGTACCCCCTGGTAATGCCTGTAGCTCGCTCTATTGGAATCCTAAAACCTGGGCTTGTACTCATATTCCTTGCTCTAGAAGCTTAGGCTGCATGCAGCACTTCCAATGCGGTTTCTGTGAGGGGACGTTTACTTTCATCGCTGCATTCTCTGGTCTGCGGTTCTGCCCCAGTAATTGGACATGAAATAAATATTGTCATTGATCTGCCTTAGGGCCCTGCTATTCTCCATGTGCTGCCGTGCTTTGCATGGGAAAATATAAATGATAATGGAATAGGAGAAGACTGAAAGGAAAACGGGGAGGACGAGATGCGTGTAATGATAGAGGCTACTGTGGAAATCCTGTATCGTGTATATGCAGTACATGATATACATGGCATGTACTGCAGTGGCCACTGCAACCAGTAGCAAGTGTAAAATACCGCAGCATGACTCCTCACTAAAGTGAAAAAAATAATATATAATACATTAAAAAAAAAACATTTGACTGAACTACTCTCTCTTTCATTGGCTACATGTCAAACACTATATTGACTGAAAAGCGTTCTTCTTTGAGCATACCAATCTGAACACCCCCCCCTTTTTACTCTTACTGATATGCTCAAAAATTTTATCCCAGGATTCCACTGCAGTCATCCCCAGAACAGAGGAAAAAGAAATCAGCAGAGTGAAAAAGCTTTCTCAAGTAGAGCTCTACTCTTCAGGAACATCCTGCCACCATATGTACGGGAGGGACTGTAAGTTATCATTTTTGAATTTAGGTTTTAAATAACATGCTTTCCATGCTCGCCCATGGTAAGTCCTCATGACAAACAGCACTGTGTGGATTTTGCAATAGTGAACTATAGTGAACTCATTAGAAAACATTGTGGGTTTTTGTGTAAACCCAACTACAGCCGTTTGTGTAAAAGAAGGTTGTAATTTTCTTAACTGCTAACAACTCCAATATATTACAGACTGCATGCGAAGTTGAGCCACTTTTAAAGGTGCTTAAGGGAGTTCAACAGTTCAACTTCAACTTTTAAATTTTAAAACTTTGTGGACTTGCAGACATGTTGCCCACACAGACTCAAAACATTTTACAAATGCAAATAAGATAACAATTGCATGCATACATTATGCATATCTGTGCGCATGTACACACACAGACACACACTCTACAGGATATACTCAGTAACCCGGGCGAGCACATACACGATGTGCAAATTACTGTGTGTTTGCAGTCACACCGGGTGGTGTGTTGATGAGCTTGGTTAATCAGCCAATCAGGCCTCTTAGACAGAATCCAGCCGTGATTGGCTGATTAGGTGCGATGGCGGTGTGTCAGTGAGAGAGGCATGGGGTAGACAGAGGGGCACAGAGATGCATGAAGAGATCTTCAGCTCGTAAACACTTAACATTCTCGCTGTGGGGGCACTTCCTCTCTTTGCTCCTCATCTAACCACTAGCTTTTTTTTAAACCCAAGCCCACAACTGTCAAACTCTTCTCCACTCATTTCTTTCCTTCTTTCACTAAATGCCAGTCCAACTTGAAACTGAACTGTAGTTCCCTTTGCAGGTTTGATTCTCGCCACAGCCAAGGCAGTGAACTAAGGGTGTAAACAGAAGACTTGAAAGTGGAAAGCGCTCTTGAGCAGGACACAACTTTTCTCCTTGGACACTGCACCACAAATGACCCTGTTTTCTGATCTGTCCTGAGAAGGAATGCACTCTTAGCTGTGTGTCAAGAGGAATATGCCAATTCCCTTTGGTAAACTGAGCAATAAGGTACTTTTAATGTGATCCTTCTGACATTATCCTCTTCAGGATAATGTCCTTCTCTGCTCCCCCCTCACTTAGCATAGTCCCTGCTAGAAAGTACTCTACACAGTCTCATAAACAGCTGCTTGGTGGCAATATCAACCTAACTGCTGCCACCACCACTCACTTTAACACAATTTTACTGTTCCAGGGACTTTTACTGGGCCGCCAAGGGCCTTTTAGGGATTCACTGAAGTTAAAAGAGATATTATAAAGAGGAAAAGAACAGAGCAGAAATGAATCAAACAGAACATAAACAGAGTGGTTCCTAAGTGGATTTTAAGTGAAAGTCCTTTGTGTAATTAAGAAGTCAGTTTGTATTGCCCCGTTGTCCCCCAGTTTCATTTTTGCCACTTTTTTTGTTCTAACTTCACACTATTACGCTCTTATATCTTTATTATTCTTTCTGGTTCTTTTGGAAATCATCAACAAAATACATAAGCATATACAAATCCACAACAATGTTTATACTTTTCTTCATGTGGGCTACTAGGGAGTACTACTGCATATGTGTACAATGTTGTATAAAGCTTTTGTGGCTCGAAAGGGAGGTGCATGAAGTTTGATAAATTCGCTTCAAGTGATGTCACATGACACGCATCACTGCAGCTGCATGACAGACATTTCTAGAGCTTACTTGCCTATGACATTTTGTGACCACTACAATTTATTGAGAAGGAGCTCCAACTGCGCGTCAAACCCAGGTCACCCCTTCCCCCAAGCACAGAATCTGCTCCTACTTCATCCACACTTATTCCTTACCACTGAAACAAAGGACTTTTGTTGAAGAGGTGATTGTGAGGTCACACCGCTGACATCAAACAGGCACTGTGGCTGTCCCAGTATCATGACGAGTAATCCTGTTAGACCTGTATGAATGGAAGTGACCAACACGACCATCAAAGTCTGCTAATCCCTTCAAGCCAAGGCTCAGTAGAAAATGATGAGCAGGAGTAATGTTGTGAGGTGCGTAGGGTGGGCTTAAAACATAAGCCTCATGGACTTTATTATTCTTTCCAAAATATTCCTTTGATGTGATTTCACTTGCGTGATTTTGGGACTATGTCTACGCTGGCTTTAGTCAGAAATTTAGCAACCAGACTCTTGGCAGTTATAAAATGTCTGAAATAGTAGGCTAGTTTTAGCTTTACTTCTTTGGCCGCTTCAGGTTTAATTTCAAATTGTAATAATTTGTTTTTACAGTAAAGCTTTTGAACTACTGCTTTGATTGTTGGAATCTTTTAATGTTTTTTTGTTATTGTGATGGTTAGAGGTAAGGGGTTTTTAAAAAAAAATTTTTATAACGTTGCTGATATTGTCATCAGATTTTATCCCAAAGAGTCACATATTAATCTAAAAGCATATTTAACAATGTGTGTGAGCCTGGAAATACTCCACTGCTATAGGACTTAATCTCCAAGCTTGTCACACATTGAGTTTTATCACCTTTACAAAAAGTACACTACAGACATCAAAACCTAAAACGCTGCAGTGACACCGCCGATCTGGCCCTCTGCACACTGAGAGCATACACGCATTCAAAGCATACGCTAATAGAGCTGTCATACTCCAACACTCGGGAAAGATGCATACATAATTGAGGTATATAAATGTGTTTGTGTGTAGGAGGATGAGATTGCATAACAGCAACGGGGTTTCAGAACTCTAAGTGGTATGTCATGTCGCCGAATAATTAAAGACATGCTAACCGTGAAGGTTGGAGCAATGGCTACGCAGGCATCAAAAAACACACGGCAGAGGGAGAGAGAAAGAGAGAGACTGACACCAGGTGCTAAGGCCATCCACTTTTCAAGGTGCATCTGAATACAAAAAGCAAGCTTACAAAACAAATCACTACAAGGCAGAAGCATGCTAATCCTATAATTGCATGAGAGGAAATCTATAATCATTTGATTATTTCTTCAGAGTTCCTCCATTCTCAAATACTCTCGGATTTTTCTGTCTCTTCGCTACAAATGACACTTCAGACGGCACACTGTCACACCCACATGGACGAGTACATGATGAGCAGGCTGCATAAACACACGTACACCCGCCCCCACACTGCATGGCTGATTTAGGCACATTATTTAAATATCTGTGTGTGTGTGCGCATCTGCGTGTGAATTTCTTTGTCATCAGGGTTGTGATCCAGCCAATCATCTACAATCAGCCAGTCCTTTCACACTAACAGAATAATTGCGTGTGTCTGTTGTTAATAACAGGGTGCTAAAAACAATAACTGCCACAGCTCAAGTATGTTAAAACAAACAGCACAACAAGGTAAACTGTGGCAGAGAGCAGCATGCTGCAGAACTGGGGAGGTACTGTCTGTCTTCTTGCTGTTTCTGCTGGGACAAATAGCAGCATGCTGCACAAAGGTTTGATTCGCTCTATGCTGTTTCAATCAGGACACAGGTGAGCTTGATATGAACTGGTAAAGGGCAGGTGTTTGCTGTCTTTTGGACGCATGTTGGCACCAAAACATGCAATATGCCTCATGTGGGTTAAAACATCTGCAACCACGTGGGCGTTAGCGTGCTGGGGTTTTTTTCAGTTTGAGACAGAGACAGTGTTTCTTTCTCTTATAATTATTGTTCATTTATACATTTA